GTCTCGGTCTACACGCCGGAGAAAATCCGTTAATTATTGAAAAATATATAATTATAAATAATTTACATTTTTTCATAAAAGATCATATTGAATATAATAACTTTTTTCATAAATTAAGTATATCTTCATTTAATAACACTTACCTCTTTGTACAATTAGAAAATTATTTACAGAAATACTTTAATTACATTTTAATTATAATTAGATTTATACTAATTACGTTTTAAGTAAATAAAAAGACAAGAAATACATTTTTAATTTATATGTCTATTAAAAAATACGATTTCATACATTTCTCATGATTGAAATTAAAAAAATTGAATAAAAATAAAAAGAACTCCATGTTCTTATTTTTAGTTTTCTTCTTCTTCATCATCGTCGTCTGGTCGTGGAATTTCAAATTCTTCTTCATTTTCATCTTCAGCGACATTTATCTCCAAGTCTTCTAGGATTTCTGGGTCAAATGTACCATCTTCATTGACATCACTCTGATAGGGTAAAGCATTGAGACAAGCTTGTCCATTACACTGGCCACAAGCTAAAAAGCACGACAACCCTGACTTCCTGCATCCACATCGCGAACCACAACCATTCTTGCAGTTACAGAATATTGTGTTCAGCAAATTTTCTGGAGCTGGAGGTAGAATAGTAGTGGTAGGTTCCTGGAATCCATTACGTATTATCCAATCCCAGTCCTGGGGTTAGTGAGCTGCTGCACTTGTTGGTGGAAGATTTGATAATTGCACAGGTTTATTCAGTTTGGTTGATTTGATGAATTGTGTATAACGAAGATGATCGATGCTATAATTAAAATGTAATTAAAGTATTTCTGTTAATAATTTTCTAATTATTGTACAAAGAGGTAAGTGTTATTAAACGTTTGAAACAAAAGTTATAGAGAATTTTATCCCCTACAATATTTATAATAAATACAAATAGCGTAAATGTGAAAGGGAACGAGATATTTGCAAAAAATGCGCAAAAAATTGATTTTTTGACCTTTGATCTCAGTTATCTACAAGTCGCGCACACGCTCTCATATGTAGGTTTTGAGACATGTTTTAGGATGTTAAAATAAAGATTTATACGAGTTTACAGCCGGTTATCTCGAATTCCGAGGTGAAACCCCTAAGATGACTGGACTAACAGCTTGTATTTTACCCATATACTACTACAGTTTGCAACAAAGGTTCTTACAATTGTAGCATTATTCACAACATTTTTTTCCGTGTAGAGTTTCTAACTAAATCTTCCTAATATATAGATTCGAAATAAATAAAAGACATAGTAAATTTTAGTTTCTCGTATAAATATTTCATGTTTTCTATATTAGTTACGGTTCAATATATCAGACTATGAGAGTGCAGTTTTGACGTATGCAACAATTAATTATATAATTAAAAATAACATTCCTTTTACTTAGTTTGCTAGCTGCATGGTTATAGGTTGACCTAGAGTACAACCATATTGTTTCGCGGCGCCTTTTTATGATTAAAAACGTCGGTTTGCATGCAGATGATACCTGATGAGTACTCGTTGCATCGACCGTTTTCACGACTGAAGAGGCGAGCCGAGGTGAAAGCGAGAGGTCTTTGCTCTGCAGCTGGAAATCGGGTCAAACGAATACGTTTGAATATTGCTAACAGCTGATGGCCTAAGGAGGTCCATTACGGCCTAAACGTAAGATATATGTGGCCATTAAGTCGCGCAAAAAAAAGATAAACTTGCTTCGAACGCGCCGCCGAAGATGGGCAATTGAATTTTATTATATCGGCGTCGAGCATCAAGAGGTTAGGCATAAAATTATTGTTAGAAGTTCAGATCAACAAATAATTATTTTATGGATTTGATTTGTTTTTGAGTAGATTCGTAAATTCGAACATTTTAACAATAACACACCATTAAACTTTTTATCGCTGCACTGGCGTAGGTATAGGGATTCCATACAAGTTTTTAGAAATTCCGTGTGTGGAGTGAGCTCTGGGCTCGAATTCTGGAACTGCGACATAAAAAAGTTAGGCTTTCAAAGCGGTAAGCGAAAGTATTCGATTAGCGGAACGCCAAGCAGTCGATTCTGGTATTCTCGTTGCTGTGCGAATCGTTTTCTGGATACGCGTTGAGCACATATAGCAATTAGCAATTTCTCAGGTATCTAATAGTCAAATGTGGATAAAACAATGAAAAATGTCAATGTTATGTGAATTTCATAACCTATTGATGAGTTATGTCAACTTATTTTTTTATGAATCTCTCTTGGATCTGTCATTATCCTTATTATACGAGGGAAATGTTGAAGACGCTTTTCAGCATTTTCGATGTTTTGGACAATATTTATAGCTGCCAAGTCGTAAATTAGCAATTACCTACATATTGTGAAATTTATAGAAGTAGTTTTCACTAAAAAGCAAGAGAATGCACAAAATCAGAATTTTTTCTATTTTTACAGACAGTTCGACAAGCAAAACGATCCTTTAAGGTAGCCGTTCTCGAATCGCTTAGCGCAATCAGTAAAGACGCTAAGCGCGTCAGATGAGAATATCCAAATCGGTAGTTAAGAATACCAAACCGGTAGCGCGCGCTAAGCGAAAAGTAACGGCTCAGGGCCCGAATTCTGTAACTTAGAAAACGCTAAGCGCTTTTAGACGCCCAGCGTAATGGCTATAGTTAATTTTTCGCTTAGCTCGCATTTCATTTGATGCGCCTAGTGTCTTTACCCTTTGCGCTAAGCTTTTGAAAACAGCTACCATAAAGGATCGTTTTGCTTGTCGAACTGTCAGTAAAAATAGATATAATTGTGATTTTGTGCCTTATCTCCTGATCTTTATTGAAAACTACTTCTTGTTCTATAAATTCCTCAATAAGTAACTTTAAGCCAATTCTTAGCTTTCTTGACTAATTTCACTTAGTTAGTCATGGAAACAAGTACAATCGTCGTTGCTTTCAGAATTGTGAAACTGTCACATCCACACTTTGTAAATTAAAATAAACAAAAATTGTAAATATGAATTTTTCAAATGAAGAAAAGTGTGTAGGATTATTGGTTCAACTTTTCTTGGCCATACATTTCGAGGATACGTTGACCGGTGAACGTTACTTACGTTTTTTAGAGGACAGTTTTAAAGACATGTTAGAAAAGTTAAATTTAGATACTCGCGCATTAATAGAGTGGTTCCAACATGACTTTTATTATGACACCCCCCCCCTATGAAGAATAGCTAGAAATTCAGTTTTAAAAAGATGCATTTATGTATACTCAAAACAATGGCGGATTTTCTTTCTCAAAACAATGGCGGCAACATTTTCTAAAATAACTTAAAGTGTATGTAGTGATATCATTTTTTTAAGTTTTAGTTTGTGTAATGTAAATTGTAAAGAGCAGTTTAATAATGTATGTTGTATTTTTGTAAGTTATAAATCATAACATAATAAGAACACCATGCCAACTAAGTGAAATCAGTCAAGAAAGATAAGGATTGGCTATAACCCTTGTATATGTACACATATATTTTCTATAACTCAGTAATTTTTTGAAAAAAAAACATTTATCGTTAAAAAGCTTAAAAAATGGCGCTTTTTATGAAGTCATGGCCAACTATGGTTTCCATTTAAAAAAAAACATATATTTGTGTCATATGTCAAAAATGACAGCTTTTAAAAAATTGGAGAACACAAACTCATTAGGGATGTGATTATATCACAGTTAACTTTTGGCTGAAAAGTTTTTGTCTAAAATAGATTATAATGGAATTAGGGACAATTTTTAAAATAGCCAAAATTTGTTTTTTTCGAAATATCTAGTAAGCCATGAACTTTTTCAAAAATCTGAAAGGCGCATATTTATGACCCCACAAAACTGAAATTCTTTTCCCTTTTAACCGACTCTCTATCTCTAGTAGTTTCCGAGATACCCATAGAGAACATCGTAGGAAACTCACCCTGTATTCAAAAAGAGCACGTAGTCATAAGAAAATAGAGACACACCATTCAAAATTCCCTTCCACTAAGGCACCGAAAGCGAAAAATCAACCAGATAGATATCATCCCTTCGAACACTGTGTTTACTGGCAGATGATTAAAACAACTTAATCATCTTTAGCGTCAAAGTTTTCAATTTAAATTGTAATCTGATATTAGTTTCTATAATAGTTTCTAGATTCCATATTAGTCTCTAGATTCCATATTAGTCTCTATATTTATGTAGTTAACGTCGGTAAAAAACCGCCAGATGTTATATTCGATGATCTGTAGCTGTTTTTAGTAATTTATTTTTCTATTAATGCCTTTATAAAATCATAAATATAAATATAATCATAAATTTAAATCAAGAAGACATGAAATGAGTTCTTTTTGGTTTTTTAAAAATTTATTTTTGATAAATTTGAGTATTGTTTTTGAAATTATTTGAAATAAATGTAGTGAACTACAAATGTGGTTTAATTATGCCACTACTGATTATAATATACATATACTGCCTAACAAAAACTATTTAAGGTTTCTGAAGACATAAATTGAACTGTATAAACTTACGGTACTTTTAAGAGGCTTGTATGGCATGGTTACGAGAGTATTCGTTGTATTCCATAACAATAGCAGCCAACAATGGTTTTTTACGCACTCTGCTTTCTCTTTTAATCAGCTGTAGGTGTCAAAACAATCTCGTGTATGTACAGGGTGGTTGTTTTAACAGAGAAAACCTATTTCCTGACTAGATAGAGCAAAATCGACATAGATGTCATGGGCTCGATTTCTGAGACATGTTTAATGGCGTAAACCGCCTGCTGATATTTTCACTGCCAACTGATATACGGGGTCTTTTTGAATTTTTTACAGTTTGGAAAATTGCCCATAACTTTTGTATTTCGCGGAATAATAAAATTCTGTAAAAACGTTCTTAAGGTAATAGCATATAAACTGTGTATTACATTATATATAATATAAGTTATTCAGTAATCTGTTTTATGTTTTTTGTTATCATTGTATAATTTTCTTTATTGTTACAGGAAGAACCAACGGCTAAAACTAGCAATAAACGCCAAGTCGACGCCTTGAAGAAAGAGGCTTCAAAGACCAAAGAGATTGAAGATAACAATATCGACAGCTCAGACAGTAGCAGTGATGACTCGTCCAGTGAATCAGAGGAAGAACCAAAAGTTCATTTCAAATTACCCCTTCAATTGGACTTCGACGATCTTGCTGGAACTCTCATTGCCAAAAACCAGAGGTAGGTGTTTCAGATAGAAATAGAATATAAATTATGTTTCATAGATATTAATTTGGTTCCACGAACTCATAAAAAACTATGTAATTGTAAAAATATTGCCTATTCTGACTAGTGCCATATACCGGGTGCGTCTCAAAAGTGGCTCACCCCTATAACTTTTTTTATTTTTCCAGATAAAAAAAAAGAGATTTGGTATGTGAGGTTTGGTCATATGACATAAATTGCGATTGATTGCCCAACTAGCACACTTATTTTATAATTTTTAACTTTCGGTACTAGATGAATTACGTGAGGATGAGGAACATTCTGAGGATATAGTCAATGCAAAAAAAAACACAAAGCTTGTAAACAATATTAAAACGTGGGCTGTGTCTTTTAATGTACTACATGTGGCGCTAAGGGCTTTATTTAAAAATTATTTAAAAATAAATAATCGCTTTCCTAATATGCTTCCCCAAGACCCGAGAACTTTTAAGCTTCAAATAGCTTTCCGTTAAAATATCCTAAATAGAATAATAATGAGGTTAGGTTTCTGAAACAGATATGTTGCACTAAACACAAATTAGTTCTGTTGTTGCCGCATCTACGACATATTTTTATAACGGTTCCAACTGGAGCTATTAATCAACATAGATACTAACCGTTCTGTTAATGTTTTATAAGTGTTTTATATAAATCAATTAATTTGAATATGCGTCATATGGGCGACTATTTACTCCTGGGCTTATGCGCCACCTGGAGGGACGCGGACGTATGAAAACGAAAGCAAAAACCTATTGAGATATCAGAGCCGGAGTTAGGCAAATTTCTTTTACCCTTGACCACTATGTATATGTAAAATAGACAAAAACACAGGATATTAAGATGCAGTAAGTTACGTATATACACGGTGTCCCATATAAGAATGCACAGTGTGCATTGTACACTACAGGGATCTCATAAACCAGAAGATTTACAAAAATGATTAAATTAGAGTAAAGTTGCGCCTTGCTGAATCCTGCAATATGATGTTTTAAAATTTTTAAAATTCCGAAGATATTTGGGAAACACCGAATTTTCCCGATTTCAATCTTATTTTTTTCTCATTTTATTTGAAAAGATATGCGACAATGCAAATTTCACATTCCCATTGCTACTTTTCCTGCTCTACAAGTTGATGTTATTAGATTTTCAATCTGACGTTTTGTTTTTTTCTTAGCAAACATCAAGATTTGTTTCTTAGCAACCATTCAAAATAGACCTATCAACCCTTATATCATTGAATTCGACTCAACGAGCTCTATCGATATTTATCAAAATATACAGGGCTTTCCATTTAAAAAATTGAAGTACCACGTGATATATTTTTTTTATCTATCCGTTACTTTACGGACACAGTGTATATTATGTACCTACTGTAAACAAATCACACCGAAACCTGTGCGATTTTTTATTCGTACGTTAAAAGGTAAAGAAAATGCACGCATTTTTATAAGTAATTATTAGCGATTTCAAAAATATATGCGAAATTTGTGGACAAAACGACATGTAGACATTACGAAAAACAATCATTGATATTACATCAAAAACTTATTGGCATTTAGAACAAAAATAGGCATTACCATAGGAACATAGGAAATTTTTATTTGCATTTTGTGAGTACGTTATCATTATTAGTACTGCCAATATTGGAACACGAAAATTGACACATGTCAAGCATTAAAAAAAAAGTTTAATGATGTTAGTGCAAAAGCCCAATAAGAAAGTTTGTGAAATATTATTTTGAAAGTGGCGGCACGCTGTATGTCATGACAGATTCCTTCATTTTGTATCTTATCAGTATCAGTAAGGCCAAGACTTCAACTCAAAATTTGACAAATGCATAGAGTTAGTGCGAATATTACATAAGCTCTTTTATCTACACGTATATAATATGGTTATTTTTTTCTGAAATACACTCCTGTTTAACTAAAACATTGCTTATAATTTAAATATTTTATAAAAATTTCTTAAAGATTAAAACCATTTTATACGAACACCGAAGGTGATAAAAGTATTTTATAACATGGAAGCCATTGTTTTCGTTGTTTCCGCTTCACCTTCAGACGGCCATTTTTAAACGCATTACAAAAAATTATTTTCCCACAATAAAACGCCACAACTCTCTAGTCTAAGTATTTATATAGTGGTCTAGGATGGATCCTTTAGGGTATTTTATTACAGTAGAGGCCAAATGAAAGAAAAACACGAAATAGTATTTTTGATTCTTTCTCTTAAAACTCAAAAAGAGATAACATATTTAAGGCGCTTGAAAATTTTGCTATTTAAATACCATACATTATACAAAAAAAGTTGCCTCGCAGTAAAATATCAGTCCTCAGATGGCATACCGAATTTCTTACCTAAGATTGGCTATTTATGGTCAGAGCTAAATGCAATATGGCTGGTGTACATTCAGACCTTTGAATAAGAAGACTAAGGAAGGAGCATAATGCTATCCATGTATTCATGCATGGTGGGAGGAAAAGCCACCATAAAAGCTCTCTAGGGTGGGGATCCTTGACAGTTCTGTTTGACGATTCATTTGACACATTTGAATTTGATTTAAAATTTTGTGGATTTGTCAGTCTTTACGGAGCTTATTTTATGTTATTTATTATTTATTCTACTACTGATAGTTGTATAAAGGTAGTAAATCTAGATGGAAATTGTGGCAGAACTTAAATTAACAGTGACACTATCGCGATTTATCGAAAAAGACTCTAAAATAGTTGGTTGTGTAGCGTGCGGTAGATCTAGGCAAAAATTGAGTGAAATAATGGAACAAATTTTCGCTAGTAAGTGACTATATACATACGTGTAGTAAACCGATCATTTATGAAATTCACTTAAATTAACTAAATTATATATTTTTCTTGCATTTTAGCTTTTATTTATTACTTGTCAAAGATTAGATGTCAAAGAATTTAGATACGTTAATTTGACTTACTTGCTTCAGTAGCGTATCGGATGTTTGTGTTAATAAATACTTATTATAACTTATCTATTTTTATTAGAATTATATATTTTTATAACAATTTTAATAACTACCAACATTTATTCACAACGTAAAATAAAACAACAAATTATTGAGTCTACCCCACGTCTACCCTACATCATAGTTTTACATTTTTTAAATAAAATTAGAACGACACTGATAAACCGGAATTTAAGTCGGCCATATTTGAGGCCCATCGCGGTGTTCCTAAGATTTTTGATATGCTCCTTCCTTAGTCTTCTTATTCAAAGATTCAGACATAACTATATATTATGTTTTTAAAATTGTGACAGAAGACGCGATATTTAGCTTTTTTGTTCTCAGAACTATGATTAAAAGTGGGAAGTAAAAGCAAGTGTTGTTGTAAAAAAGTAGTGTTCGTCAAAGCAAAGTCGGAACCGCTGGTATAACAAAACAACTTTTATAAAAGTGTTTTATTCTAGCTCGATAATTGTTGTATAATTGTCATAATTTTGGTAAACTATTTAACTCTGTAACTGTTTTCAATAAAAGTGTTTTGTATTTGTTCCAAAAAATATTTTATAATAATTTTGTAAATGTTTATGTAATTGTCCGGTAAAAGCTATGGAAACTATAATAAAACAAATTAAAGAACTAAATTGCTGCACAAAAGTGCGCCCTTTTTGGGTTTATAAGCATTGTATAAACGTTGTTGAAATGTTTATAGCAATACTGTTATTTTATAAAAATAGTTCTGTAAACGTTCTTACGACATTTTTAAAACAGAAATTGTTAGTTGGGTGATATATTCAATTATTTTTGGTCACTTCTTGTTTCACCGGAAATGACTACAACTTTTGATTTTTAAATGGTACCTTTGTTATTTTTTTACTTTATTCGATAGAAAATGACACTCTGAATAGAATGACATATCATATATCAACTTTTGACATTTTCGCTCTAAAAAATTGTATTTTAAATTTCAATCTAGAGTGCCACCGCTCGCTGTGTTAAAAACACTAATTTTTAATCAAGGAGCCTTGGAAAAATAGATTTGATCATCTAATGTTTTTTTATGTCTTGCCCTGGCCGGTTAAAAGATGCCCAAATCGTATTTTTAATCGTATCTCAATTTTTTCAAATGGAACGAGGGTGGCTCATTAGCATGGAAACAGCATTTTTTTACGAATAAGTTGGTACCACAGACTTGGTGTTTCGAATCAGATTGTCGTTATGAACCGCATACCATAATTTCAAATAAACCATATAAGAAAATGTCAAAAGTTGACATATGTCATTTTATTCAGAGTGTCATTTTCTATCAAATAAAGTAAAAAAACGAGTAGTCATTTACGATAAAACAGGAAATTACCAAAAACAATTGAATACGTCAATCAATCCTAATTTATGTCATATACTAACATACCAAATTTCGTTTTTATCTGAAAAAAATAAAAAAGTTATAGAAGTGAGCCACTTTTGAGGCGCATTCGGTATACAAAAAATTGCAACTTTTCTATATACCCCGCTGGCAAATGAACCTTTAGGTCGGCATTTACATGTATAACAGTGAGTCGTTATGGCAATCTAGTAAGTCAGAGTGAGCAAAAATACGAAGTATTTATTATATAACTACTTAATCTGAAGCTAGATTCCATGCCCTTGGGAAAATACTTGCCTTTTGTCTTTATTCAGTTCATCGTATTTTACTAAGCGTGTTGACCGTACTCTTCGTACACTTGAAAACCGGCACCCAAGACCAAAAATGCCGACCCTTAGTATATGTATGACAATATAATATACCTATTAATATGATTTTTTTTGTGATTATATTTCTTTTGGAGTGGCTCTACTAGTACCTTTACAAGTATACCAACTTGGAGACTGAACCCTCCATACCTATATGTAGCTATTTGTCAATGATTTGGTTGTAATTTGACCGAATACAAAAAACCGGTACATTTTTCAGGTTCTTCAAAAAAGTTCTATAGGTATTTCGTCACTGTAAAAAAAATCTACAAAATAAGATATTTATTTTTTGTAAACACTGTGTTTATCCAACGCGTTATATGCGTTAATCCAACGGAGACTAGTTGTTGCTACCACTGGTATACTAATGAAGAAATTTGCCTAACGGATAAAAAAAATGCTTAACGTTTCGGGAAGCATATCTCTTCCCGTCGTCGGGAGCAAAAAACACAAAGAACAAAGAAAAATTATTATTAAAATGATGACATTTTCTATTGTGTAGCCATTTTTGTAAATGCTTTTGCAACACCGCAGAAGGGTTATAGGCCTACAAATGGCATTGATGAGCCTTGTTTGTCAATTTTATCTCCCATTTTTCTTTATTTAGAGATATACATATCACAGTAGATTACAGCTTATTCATTACCAGATGGCAACTGTTCTTGAGCATCTGCGTGTCGCCTACTGCGCCATATTCTCATACATATCCCATCAATTAGAGCACTAGTCTTAATCGTTATTTTAAACGAAGCTTTAATGAAATTTGTCTCATAACCCTTATTCAGTATATACGCAGATTTCCATGCAACTGATCGTAAAGTGGCAGGCTGGTTATAAATAATCTGTGAATAGATATATATTTAAGAACTATCTTGTAATTGTATGTCGTGTTTTTTAGATCTAAAATGAACTGTATCGTTGAGAAGAAACGTGCCGAAGAAGTCGTTGACCACCAACCCAAGACTTTAAGATTACCTTTCGGAGTTAACCTTACCACTGACCCAAGATTCGAAAGGCTTACTGGTGAAAGAATGGTCATCATCTGCGAAAGTGGCCATATGCAAAGGTAAACATTCATCTCATACTTGTCTTTACAGAAAAAAATATTTTGATCTGTATTTAGTGTAATTTGATAATTAATAATACCATAGATACCTATTATAAAAATCCTTCATTCATTTTTATTATAGAAGTAATACCTAATATTTAAAAAAAAACGTATGAATTTCCATTACGACTTTACTTCAGCTTTCTAATTTGCACTGATCCTTATTCCACGAAATGTCAAACGAATAAAAATAAACAAAATTTAAATATGTCCACCGCTATTATTAGTGAATGTGAATGTATGATCCAGTTTTGCGGTTTGGGTTTTAATTTACATGTAATTAAAATACTACAAACAATTCAGATCAAATTTCAGTATACCAATTATATACGAGCCTAATTTGAAGGCGGATATTGCAAATTTCAATTTTACTGTCTAGTTTCACCCGAGTTTAAATGAACAGGTAAACAAACATTACAAAATTTTTGAATGAGGGATATTTTTTAATCACTGTGGTAAATAAATACTTTAGTTTGTTTATAATATATGATTATTGCATAGGAGTGTATGTTCGCTGGAAGGATATGTTCTAAAAAAATAAAAAGCTATATTACAGTACCTAATTTAGTAAACAATAGATTAATTAAATTTTAGAGACACAGCAACATAATATTAGATCGGGGTGGCTATAGCCAATTTCACTGCGATCTTTCCAGATCTACTGTGGTCTTCATCGTATCTCTAAATAATATTCTTTAGCCTTATCGTTATTAAAAAGTCTAATAAGTTGGAGACTGAATCTTCTATATAACGCTTTGTCAATGGCTTAATAGTATCGTATATCATTCCAATCAGCTTTATCGGCCTGTTGAGCTTTCAATACTCTGTTAGTAGAGTTAACTACAGTTTTGACAGTTTTTCTATTTTTGCTTATACATTTTGTCGAGTGTTCTACTATGAACCATTTTGCTTGCCTCTGTCTTGGTGAATATTTCCACCATTTTAGAGATTTATTGGCAAGTAAGGAGGGGTTTCTCGAATCTCAAATTCCAAGAGGGTGAAAACGCCCCTCAAATATTACAATATTTGTTATTTAAAAAACGGTTAGTCTTTCGGGAAAACGCTTGGACCAGCATAATTTATTTTGTTTTTTTACATATTTTGAAAATTTTTAAAAAATCATACAGGGTGTTCCAAAAAGTTGTGTAATTTCTTAACCACGATTCTGCTTAAACTGCTTGACGTAAAAAGCTTATTTTTGGCAAACGGATTTTTTGAAAGTCAAATACCAACGAGATGAAACTACCTCTCAAATATTACCAAGTTATGTAATAATATCGCCATATTGTTTTTTCTCATGCTGACATATATGTGAGAAAATTTAACCCAGTTTGTATGTTAAAAAAATTCTTGCTTTGCTTTACCATCACCATTACAAATGATTAATTCGACGCGAACGAAGTCGCCGGTACACGCTAGTTTATTATATTTCTTTCAACAATTTTAAGCATTAAACTTTGTGGTCCATTTTATAAAACCGGTATTTATAGTTAGTGTACAAAATTATGTATTCCTACGCCTATCAATATGCAAAATGTTAACCAGTCTGTACTTTTATATAAACAGCGTTTTCTATACAACACCATTAACACATTTCTGTGGCCTACGATAGAATATGCACTTTAGAAACAATGTAAAGGAAGCTCTGATATTGTTTACAAATTATGCAAGAGATACACCTCGATGAATAACAAATAGACTTTCTTCTTAGAATATTTTTGCATAATTATTGGCAGTTGAGGAAATATATTGAGTTTTTATGTATCAAGTTTATGCAATTTTATGCATAAATTTCGAATAATTATTTATTTTACCTTGAATATATTATATTATATAAAAGCTTCTTTTTAAAATTATTTAACAACATTTCACTTTTTAGTGCTCAACCTCCACAACAAGAAAAAGCTCAATCTGATGAAGACGATGATGATGATGACAGCGATCAAGAAACTATCATGATCCAACCTGTTATGATTCCTATTCCACCAACTAACTTCCAAACACACATGCCTCAACAAATGGCTCCCATGCCTGTCTCTATGGTAAATATAACATAACAAATACATTATTGATACTGTTTCGACTTAAAAAAATAATTATACTATAGCAATCTCAAGCTCAGAGCCAACCCCAAATTCAAATTCGTCCTCTCCACCCCATGGAACAAATGAGACCACCAATGCCACCAATGAGACAACCCATTCAACCTATGAGACCTCCTATGGAACAAATGAGACCCGAAATGGTTAGATTCCCAATGAGACCACCCATGGACAGACCCATGATGGAACAAGAAAGACAACCCTTCGAACAAATCATCGCCTACAGACAAAACGAGGAGCCTGTCAGAAATAGCATTGAGTACCAAAGACCACCCCAAGAAATCGAACAACAAAGAACAATGATGGTTGTTCCTCAACAGGTGCGTTTCTATATACATTGGCCGGCACAAAAGAACTTTAACTTTAAATTTTTACGAATTAAAAAGTTTAATTTATTTTGTTCAAGTTGGTCCATTTTGATTAAATTATTGGTATTTTTTATCTCTTTTTAAATTAAAAATTAAAAGCCTCATATGCCTAGAGAGGAAAAACCAAATTTTAATTCAGCGAAAGTTTGATACATTCTATGGAATGGTTCAACTTCTTCTTCTGGTGCCGTCCGCTTATAGTAGTGTGTTGGCGTTCATATGTTCATTTGGCGCGATTTAAAGTGTGCCCTCCTCAGTTCTTCTGAATGTTGTGGCAGCATCTGCAATGTTCATTGCACCATTCAGGGATGTTGCCAAGCCATGAATGTTGTTTTCTCCCTGGTCCTCTTTTTCTTTCGATCTTTCCCATAAGTATTGTTTTTAGGAGGGTGTACCTAGAACCTAGGAAGTATATGACCAAAGTATCATGTCTTTCTTTGTTTCATTATTTCTAAGAGCTGTCAGTTCGTTTAACAGAGTATATGACCAAAGTATTATGTCTTACTTTGTTTTATTATTTCTAAGAGCTGTCAGTTCATTTAACGGAGTATGGTTTAACAAAGTATAGAATTTAAAAATGATATAATCATCAATGTGCATCTTTTCTCCATAGTTTATTTATATATTTATCTTTATAGCTTTATTTTTATTGGAGAAATTTGCTTTTTAAGGAGGTAGTAACGAATGACAGAAATTTTTGGTTTTTTGTTCTCAAAAGGTCCCCCCTCACTCTTACAGTGCCGTCTCTATACAGAGCGTCGGCTAGTATACTCAAGGTGGTTTGCCATTGCCTTCCTTGAGGTAGCGGCTCGCTGGCTTGCTGGCTATTCGCTGGCTATTTTGCTCGCTGGCTATTTAGATAAATCAATATTTTTATTTAAAAATATAAGGTGGCGTAGAGGTACAGGCTCTCGTCTACCAATCTAAAGGTTTTGGGTTCGAATCCTACACCCGGCATTTCATCAGCCGACTATTTTTATTAAGATTTATATTAAAAATAAAAAAAAAATTAAATAAAAATAGTTTGGGTACCTAGATCGACTCAGCCTTAAATGAGTACTTGGGATTCACAATCCTGAGGTAATAATAGGCGGTTGAAGCGTAGTGCTAGCCACATTACCTTCCTTGTATACCGAACGGCTCTAGCATGGCAAGCTGTACCTTGCTACTCCCAAGGCGTTGAACGCTATATACGGGAGCTGTTATTATTATTATTTATTTAAATAAATAAAGCGACCGTACTGGCTGGGGATCGAACCCAGTACCTTTTGCACCACAGATCGACACACTCCTGCTTGCGCTACGGCCGGCCACAAAGGTTCTCATTAACAAACCTATAAAATACAGTTTGTTAATGTCACTGTCACTGAAAAGGTATATTATAATTGTTTGTTGACAGTTACTTTAACAGAGATGGTTTTAAGGCCAGAAGATGTTCTCTACCATGTTCAATTAAAGCAACAATAGTCTATACGTCTGGACTTCAATCCATCTGTGCTAGAGTAACTGCCAACAAACAATAATAACCTAACTTTTCAATGACAGCAACAATAAACACTATTTTATAGGTTTATTGATTAGGCTCAAAAATCAAAAGCAATGTAATGCTTTTAATGCTAAGATTAATCGTTACTACCTTCTTCAACAGCACATATCTCCAACAAAAAAAAGCGATTGAGATTAATCATAAAACTATTAACAAAATACGCACCTTGATGGTAAAGTGGTTTTTATATTCCTTACTATGTTAAACTATTCCACAGGGTGTTTCAAACTTTGGCCAAGGTAAACATTTTGTTGAATAAAGCACTAAATCACCACAATAGACCAAAACACTTTTACTTTTGCGACCACCACTGGACGCGCGTTTTTCTAACCATGTTGATAGCAGATGATTAAAACTCAGTTAAAACTCAAGCAAACTTAAGTATTAACAGATACCTCGTAACAACTCAGTTTTAGCACAGGCTAACCTAAATTTACTTTGTGGTTTTAATTATCTGCTGTTAACGAAACGCGCGTCCAGTGCAAAAGTAAAAATGTTTTGGTGTATTGTGGTGATTTAGTGTTTTATTTTTCTGTTGTAACAACATAAGTTCCAACCTTCAACTGTAGCATTTTGTTTTTTTCTCGTACAATCGACAGATGAGGACTTCAGTTTTTAATTTAAATAGTCAAATAATTTATCTACACATTGCTTAAAAAATCATGAAAATCGGAACAAATCAACAAAATATATTGAACTTTGAAGTACTTTAATAAATTATATATATATGATATTTAAGATGCATAGAAATATACATACTAACATTATAACTTATTGTTGATATAAGATACATTTAGAACACAACCATCAAACAGTAATAAACAATTAATTAATTAAATTGTTCGTGTAGGTTCATATCCGTTTTGAACCTCAACAACCACAACAGCCTCAACAACAACAAGACTCCGACACATCTCCAAATCCTTTGATTCAACACATCATTCAACAAATCATCGCGCAAAAGATCATGGACATCCGCAAGGCTCAAGAGCAAGAACAGCAACAGGTTCAAGAAACAAGAGAGCGCAACTTTGAGCCACCAAGAATGATGAATGTACCTAATGTACCTGAAAGGCCAGTCCCCCACCCAATGATTCCAATTCCTGAAGAAGTATTATCTCATTTGAACAGGTATGTTTTGTGAAAAAAGCTCTGGAAATATCACTATTTAAACTTTTTTGAACAAAATACAATTCAATATATGAAAAAAATATATTTTGTCTAAAAAGGTACTGTACTTGGAGTCTATTGAGAATACGTAAACGTATATAACTTGGGATTTACACTGTAAATGTACATTCAAAGTGATTCACTCGTAGTGAAATCAGTCAGTGTAAACATCCTTGTTTATATATTTTTATTAATTATTTATATTATATTATATTCAGTTGATTATTGTAATATCTTGTAGCCTTCAAAAAGGAAATAAAATTTGTATATATGAAATGTATATATGACAGGTATAAAGGTTTTATTTAAGCCTTCATGTAGCCTTCTTTTATTTAGTACACAAAGATACATTAAAACCAAACCAAACCGAATCAAATTATGGTTTTGTTAAAATTAGATGGCTTACACCATATTTTGGTATTTAAACGGATGTTTCCTTTACAGATTGCCCAACAATGAGCGTGTCATTGTCGCTGTATCTGAGCCTGATTCCTCCGAAGAAGATTCATCTTCTTCCTCTGACGAATCTAGTGCATCCCAAAGCGCTTCTCAAGAGACTGCTCCTCAACAAACTCAAGAGCAAAAGCCACAAGACCCAGAAATGGTCGGCAGAGAAGCTTATATCAGAAGATTGCCAGTTAATATTCCTGTAAATATGATGCAAGAACAGGACCAAGAATCTCAGGGATCTGCTGCTGAAGAGACCCGTCCCCATTGTAAGTATTCTTCGGAAAAAGATTTCTGAAGTTTTCACTCCAATCTTTTTTTATCGCATAGGTGGGTTAAAATATTTTTGTCGATATTCAGGGTGATTAAAGCATATTTTAAAAGTTTTTTTTAAAATGGAATCTCTACTCTCTCTCTCTCTTGAATCATGGCTACGAGTCATGCAATGACTTCTGCGTGTATACTTTCTAGTTGTGTCTTTCCAGGCTACACTAGCTTCAAGTCGATGTATAGCTATAGAGTGTAGGGTTAGGTTAAGTTGCGTACTGTACTCATTTGTCTATTTTGAACGATGCATCTTGTTAGAGATCGGCCTCTTCATCTTTTTTCTTGGATATCACTAGTTATAATAATTCTTTCCATGTTGTAAGCAGGTCTTCGAGCAATAAGTCCAAAATTAGTATTAAATGGAATACTGTATCTATTATAATTTGTCTTTTAATTCCTATTCCAAAAATACCATAATATTATACTTTATGATGTTTTTGACATAATATGTCTACATGTTTTTAGAAAAAAATTTCTAGTTATGTAAATCTTTAGGCTTTTTTATTTTTAAAAATAGATGGTAGGAAATACAGTATACTGCATGATATACCGGATGGGTCTTAAAAGTGGCTCACCCCTGTAACTTTTTTATTTTTTTCAATTAATTTTATATTCAAAATCAATGTTTATACACTATATCGTATTTTTTAAATCGCCAAGAAAAAAATCCTTTATTGAGTAAATTAAAATGTTTTCAGTTTTTTTATTCTGGTGTTAGTCTTGCTAAGTATGAGAAATGCTTAATATGAAAAGAACTAATGAGACCTCTTAATATTTTTATAAAAAACAGAATTTTCTCTGTAAATATCGAGTTTATGTTTATAGGTACCTCGGTACGGAATAGATTGGAAGTCTAGAATAAAAAAGGTTAAACAAATCTCTGTTTGTTTATGACACAAAATCCAGGGTATTGAAATAGTGGAGAAAAATACATTAGTTTGTTGTGACTCGCCCTGTATATATAAAAAGGGCCTAATTTTAGTATATTTAGAAATTATGGTATTTTTGGGGCAGGAATTTAATGACAAATCCACTGAGCTAAAAATATCGTATAGTATTTTGTTTAAAAATACACAATTTTAAATGGAAAAAAATATGTGATCACCTAGTACAGGGTGGTCCGTATATAGTTAACTGTATTCCCGAAACTTGGGCAGCATATTCTGCACATAAAAATAAGTAAAAAACTTTGTATAAATGTATGTTCTAAAATATTTAGTTTCGGAGATACGTGGTGTAGAAGTTTCATTTTTATTTCAATTTTTTTCAAATAATTTCTGATGAAAGGTCTGCGAGTTTTTTGACATGAGAAATTTAATTTTGATGTTAATACGACTCCTACTTCTAAAGGGCGCTACCTACATATTTTTACTGGTCTGAAGAGTAATAATTTTTCGTCCGTACCAGTATAAAACTACTGAGTAAAAAATATATATTTACGATGTTTTTTACGTAAAAAAGGTCTCTTGGTAAAAATCGCTACAAGTAATGGTTCTCGATATATTTGGAATCGAAATTATCAATACCTGTCATCATTGACATAAATTAAACGTGTTGAACAGAAACCGTTTTATCATCATTTTTCGAAGAAAAATTTATTATTAATTTAAAAAATTAAAAGTTTCCAAATTTATAATTTCAGTCAAATAACTATCTAAATTCTAAACTATTTAAAAATAATATGCAACATGTTTATTTTTTGTCAATAGTGACAATTTCCATTCTATATATCTTGAGAACGGTTAACGGTTGCTTGTAGCGATTGTTACCAAGATACAAATACTACTTAAAAAATCACGGAAGTGTATATTTTTTCACTCAGTAGTTTCATACAGGTACGGACGAAAAGTTATTACTCTTCAAAAGAGTTAAAATACATGTAGGTTTTGCCCCCTACAAATAGGAGTCATATTGACATCAAAATCAATTTATCTTGTCAAAAAACTCCTAGACACCAATTTTCATCTAGATATTGACTTTGCGAAATTTCTACACCCTGTATCTCCGAAACTAAGCATTTTAAGACATACATTAGAACTTTTTTACTTATTTTTATCTGCAGAATATGCTGCTAAAGTTTCCGGGATACAGTTCGGACCACCCATTGCCAAAAATAGTTTTAATGGTGTGCTACCAGAATATTGTAGAATATTGCTTTGTGACAAATTGTCTTTAATAGAGATATGAATTATTTTCAGATGTCCAACCCAGATCTGTATCAGTCGAAGCTCCCAAATCCAGAGTAACCAGGTCTGCCAACCCACTCGTTCCTGAAAAGAGAGTGAAACGCTGTGCCTGCGAATGTGCTTGCTAAATCACGATAAAACATCAGTAATTAAATAAAATTATACATCACTATTTTGTATACAAATTTACTAAAATGAATATATTACTATTGTAGATTTAGTTAAGGTACTTAGAGCTTCTAGATTAAAAAAAGAATCTATAATTATATTTTAGCAACTATCTAAAAAGTATGTAAATAAACAATCTTTATAACGTGCTAACGATAATAAAATTCTTTTTTAGCATTAAGGTTGTTAATTTAGTTATGTGTAAATAGATTTTCTTTTGAAACAAAAATCGGTCAATATAATTGTGATAGTATCAATTTGGGTGTTTTGTAAAAAACAGTATTTTTAATAATAAACAAAATTTTATTTTGGTTTACTTGTCTTTATTATTTTCTCTATTTTAGTTTTTATTTTAGGCAAAATATTATCAAGAATATAAAAATTAATCTAAAATATACTACCATAAATGGTACAGGAACTCCATTCAAAGAATAAAAATTGACTTTAGACTTTAATAGCATTCGTTCTTTAAAAAAATATATATATACAACGTTTCGCATGCTATTAGATTCACAATTGTTTTCAAGTATACCTTCATCATTAACACTTATGCAGTTTAGTTTTCCACCACTTTTCCCAGCTTTTAATTATTTATTTCCAAGAAAACAAATTGGATAAAAATTATGGGTTTCAATGAGGTTCAGGCAAGGGTTAGGTAATAAGGGAAGCGATAGTTGCAACACAGGTACTTGTCCAGAACTGCTACGATCATAGAAAGGATGTGTGCCTGTGTTTCATAGACTACGAAAAGGCATTCGATTGTGCGTGCAACACCACAAATTAATGCAGCTGCTCAAAAGGCTTGATATAGACCAAAAAGACATACAATGCATCGAAAACTTGTACTGGAACCAAACAGAACAAATAAAATTAGCCAATACCATGTCCAATCCCATACAAGTTAGAAGGGGGGTGTGGCAGGGTTGCGTGCTGTCTCCACTCCTATTCAATTTGTACTCAGAGGCTATTTTCCAAGAGGCTCTAGAGGACGCCGAAATGGGAGTCAAAGTTAACGGAGTGTGGATTAATAACATCCGCTACGCCGACGATAGGGTCTTGATTGCAGATAATATACACGATCTACAACAACTGGTCAACGTCAACAAGCTAGGAGAACAGAGTATTGTGGAGAAAGTGTACAAAGTTGGAAAGACGTTGTGTCAGGATATGGATTCGGATTCGTATTCGTGTGAGTCTTGCAAAGAAGCTTCAAAAATAGTTACTTTTGCAGCCTGCGATCGCTAACAGACTAAAAACATGCCACATAATAACGGAACTTTTCACTAGTTTTTTTTTAATTTTTTTAATAAAATTTTTCGTGTGTTAAGTTAGCACAACCGCTTTAAAAAAAATGTACGACACTATGTGGAATAATTGCCGTAAATTTGCCGTGAAAACGAAAAATTTTGCCGCTCTTCGCTAAGTAAAATAAAAAAAAAATAAAATAATCTTTATTACATGCTCAAACAAAGAGTACATATAAAGATGGAGAGTACCGCAAAGCGTATTTTAATAACCACCATGCCTAAAATAATAAACTACTTAAAATAATAACATACCTACTTGAAAAGCAACAACGATAATTATTAACACTTAACAATAATATTTAACAGATAAAAAAAAATTCTTATAAGGAATTTTATATGACCTATAACTCTAGAGCTCTGTCTTTGACATATCTTTTAATGTTCTGCTTAAATACAGGCACGCTTAAAACTTTGAAATCCCGTGGCAAATGATTGTAGATATGAGCCGCCAAATAGAGAAAACAGGATTTAAAAAATTCAGTTCTATGCTGTGGAATAGTTATGGCATCTCTGAAGCGTATGTTTACCTGATGAGCGTTACTTCGAATATTAATTAGTTCCAAGAGATACAGAGGATGTTGGGTAGTTAGAACTTTGTGTATTAGGCAACTCATCTGAACATATCGTTTTTGTGCCATATTACAATTGTTACGTTTTTCATCGGTCCCGTGGATAGAAAGTCACAATTTATTTAAACACTATTTATTTAACACTAATTAACAAAAACAATAACGATAAAAGACTTATAGAACTATTTACAAACGATTTATAACTAAGAATTTATTTTGAATTTTAGCGCGTCAACTGTACTCGTCTATTTATAACTGCCCTCTCTAGGCCACAGCCGCCGGCTTTTATACCTACAGCTAATGATTTCTAGTATAGTCCATAGATCGTTAGGTGCATAGAGAAGGTTTCGAATGTTCTCGTATGTACTACTCCATTCCAGTGGGACTCGATTCTTCTCGAACGAATGAATCATTACGGTGTCTATTCTTTAATGCGATGTTAAGGTCATCTGAGGGCAGGACATATAGTTAGGTTAGGTCGAGTCCACACGGGTCCGCAACACAATGAAAAATCTCCTGTATATGTTGGCTGACATGATCTCTCCTTGTCAACCGTCTTACTGTAAAACTTGGAAAATAAGTTGGTTATAATAATGGTTTTATAATTCGAAAACTCTCTATTTATTTATCTAGTAATGCTAAAACACTCTATTTTCAAGTCGATTAGAGAAAATAGTGTGATTCATTGGCAAGTAATGTAAACATTTACGATCCGGTAAAATTGTGATGTAAGAGGAGGCTTAGCTTGCCTACGGCGGTTCAGTAGTAGACTGGCCAGCCAACTGTTGTGTTGTGTTTTGTCATAGAGCTGATATTTGGGGGTTGAGAGTCTTTTGACTATAAACGTTGCAAGTACTGTAAGGCAACGGGTCGTGTGACCGGAAGAAAACCTCTGGTGACGTCTTTCCTTCGAGGTTGGTCTTGAGAGTTTGAGGTCTTCCTTGTCTTCTCGATTGACACGATGCGGCGTTGGGGTAGAGAGACTAGTGAGGTACCCCAATTAGCTTATTCGATTGGGATGCGAATCTGTTTAGCGGCAGAGTTGCGTCCGGGAGAAGCCCCTATACTATTTCAAGTGACACTAGCTAGTTGTTGAAGATTATTAACCAATATATAACCGAATGATATTTGAATTAGATGGAAAATATGGAATGGGATATATTGAATAGAATATATCAGTGGCTAGGGGGCGGAGTACCCCCGGGTGAGTCTTACTATTTAACTATCAATTTTATCCAGATCAGTAAATGTTTGTTTTGTTATTTTCATGTACAATGAGAGAGTGCTTGTCAATGACTAACTAAATGGATATTTGAGGTGAATTTGCATTGTGAGACCCGGTTGAGTAAGCCCCAAAAATAACGATTTTACATTACAAATCTGACACAGGAGTTTTGCAATTTTTGAATTCGATACTTTAAACTGAGTTAGGAACGGACCATAGACTATGTTTAGGTAGCCCGGTATAGAAAGGACCAGAAAGGACCAAACTGTCAGCAAGGAGTCTCTTAGCATCGAAAGATAAAATATTTTTAAATTCATAAATTGATTTTAGTTTGCAGTATGATCGCTGACAGACATAACTTACATGCCTATTGAATGTCAGTTTAGTGTCCATAATGAGACCAAGATTTTTGACCTCATTAGTTCAATCAAGTTTAACATTATTTAGAAAGATATTGTGATTTGTTGGGTACAGATCATTGCGTGAAAAAAGAATTGCCTGTGTTTTGGTTGGGTTTATGAGAGGAGAATTTGCAGATGCCCAGTTTGAAATAGATTTAAGGTATAAGTTAATCAGGTCTACATCTTCAGAGAGGCGAGAGAGAGGTGATGGTAGGTAAACTTGAAGATCGTCCGCATATAGGTGGTATTGACAGAACTTGATGTGTTGAACGAGATCTGATGTAAAAACTATGAAGAGAAGCGGCCCCAGGATAGAACCCTGCGGCACGCCCCTCCCCACAGTAGCCCATTCCGAAAGCTCTACCTCATTAACCTCCCCCCCAACCAATCTGACCGCCTATGTTACCAAAGTATGTTAAATCGCGATGGTTGTGCTAAGTTAATATTAAGTTAACACAACCACCATTGGAAATCAGTGAAAGAACATAGTTATGAATTTTATAGCATAGCAGGAATTTGCCGTTTTTTGCCGTTCTTAGATACAATTAAAAAAAATATCCTCGGATCATTCTCTATCCCCCTGCAACAAAAAATGTAATAGCGTCAAGGTCACATATTAAGTTAGCACAACCATTCCAGTAAAAGTTAAGTAAAATGTCTGAAATTAGGTGGAACAATTGCCGTAAATTAGCCGTAAATACACCATGCAAACGAAAAATTTGCCGCTCTATTATTTGTTTACAAAATCGATAATTAACGTAAACAATAACGTTAAATTAACGCGATTTTTCTTAAAATTCACTAAATAGGGTCAATAATAACTTTTTAGTACAAAAGGAATATGCCGTAAATAAGCCGTGAAATCGAAAAATTTGCCGCTCTTTTATTTCTTTATAAAATCTACAGGGTGATTCAGGCTTCCGAAAAAGCTCTATGTTAGGTTTTTGGTTTGGAATTTCATTTCATTTTTTTATATAATATGGGGGCAATGGTAACGCACATTTTGAAAATATTTTTGTCAGCATACAGGGTGATTCAAACATATTTTCAAACCAAAGTTGTATATTTTTAAATGGGATACTATATATTTTTTTTAGCTCAGTGGATTTGCCACTAAATTTCTGTTTCAAAATACCCCAATTTCATATATTATACCTAATGGTTTTTGAAATATAACCGTTTTTAAACTAAATTTATTGCTTATTTAAAGTTCTCTGAAAATTCTAAATTCGAAGAATTTAAAAAAAATTTAACAGGAAGTACTGAATAATAGTGTCTTCTTCAAAATTCGACCTTTTTAAACTTTTTGATTTCACGGCTTGTTTACGGCATATTCCTGTTGTACTATAAAGTCATTATTGATACCATTTAGTGAATTTTAAGAAAAATCGCGCTAATTTAACGTTATCGATTACGTTAATTAAAAAAAATATCGATTTTATAAACAAATAATAAAGCGGCAATTTTTTCGATTGCACGGTGTATTTGCGTCTAATCAAAGATAATTCTGTGTTAACTATAATATTCTTTGGTCTAATTTACGGCAATTGTTCCACCTAATTTTAGGCATTTTACTTAACGTTTACTGGAATGGTTGTGCTAACTTAATATGTGATCTTGACGCTATTACATTTTTTGTTGCAGGGGGATAGAGAATGATTGGAGGATTTTTTTTAATTGTATCTAAGAACGGCAAAAAAACGGCAAATTCCTGCTATACTATAAAATTCCTAACTATGTTCTTTCACTGATTTCCAATGGTGGTTGTGCTAACTTAATATTAACTTAGCACAACCATCGATTTAACAT